TGCCTTTCACAAGTTTCTCTGCGGATTTGTGCTCCTCTCAGCGACAGCAGTCCAACCCCATCTTTGGGGGAGGGGGGAGGAAATCATGGGATGTTTTTTGGCTCGTCCGCTTTTGTCGGACAGACCCCCCCCAGTCCGTCTGGACCGGGCGTCGACCTAACCCAGCAACAAACTTTAATAAAGCAATTCATTGAATTCATGGGATCATTTGCATAAAAAGCACTTCACTCGCATTTTTTTTTGCACATATTATTCATTCAGGAATGCAATGGTATGGCATTGCCAGGAGGGCGACATTTGAAGGATTCCTCAACAAAACCCGAAGGGGTCTCAGCTGCTGACCACCACCCATCTTGACCATAACCAACATCCAGGGCCAAGACCCGATGCTGGGAAGCTGGTAAGAGCGCAGCAATGAGGGCAGTTCGTTCGAACTGGCGCGGCCTAGCAGCGACACAGGCATCTCAGCAGCAAAAGTTGTTGGGAATTTATAGCTCGTAAATTTTGAAAAAAGGCAAGTGAAAGCTGCAGAAGCAGGCAGATCTTCCCCTCCGTTTGCCAGATTCAGCCTGCCAGTTCTAAGTCCTGTTCCCCAGACGAGCTAACAACATACATAGAAAGTCATCACCAATATAACTCCTACCTTCTTCCATGAGGATAGGCATCGTAACTCGGGCTTGCACGTCGCTCATGGCTATTGAAAAGACCGGGGAACAAACACACACACACACACACACACACACACACACACACACACACACACACACACACACACACAGACAGACCAAAAAACAACACAAGGCAACAAGTATCAACATGCACAACGTCAGATCACCTCTTCAAGAGGTACTTCTCGCTGCCACCCTTCATATCCAAGGGGCCTGGGAGGTCAGCCGAGGTCTGCAAAACATCACAAAGCCAAGGAAAAGGGTGAAACAGCAGACCAACAAATAAATGAGTAAATAGATAGATTGATATATAAATCAAATAAGGGGGAGCATGACAGTATGCCTAATCCCTCTTCAAACCACCAGTGGGCCTTCACCATTGGGATGCGGGTAGATGGGTAGATGGGAGAGACACAGGGGAAGAGACAGAGGGAGAGAGCATGAGCAAGAGCAAGAGAGAGGATTAGGGAGAGAGGGAGAGGATTGGAGAGGGGGCCAAAGAAAGGGAGAGGAAAACAGAAAGGTAAGATAAAGTAAGAAAACGAGACAAGCAGAATATCCCTGCTGTTCTCAGGGAAGTAAAAGGGCCTTTACCCGATGTAGGCCTCAGGCCTTGTAAAAGTAAAGCAACACGGGCCTTTTAAAAGTAAAGCATTGTGAAAAGGTATCTCCCCAGGGCTCAGAAACTTGAAAGCAGGTTAAAGGTCAAGCTCTCTATCAACAGGCACATCTAAATCTAAGGCAAATGGCATTGTCAAAAGACTTACCTGTTCACCAGGAGATATGTATGTCATGTCTGTTCGGGTAAGAATGTGTCTGTACGTGCAGGCAGTGTACCTGTTCGTGCAAAGGAAAGTCTGTTCAAGCAGTAAATGTGTCTGTTTGTTGAGAGTTGTGCCTGTCCAAAAGTAAAGTCAATAGGCACAGTCCCAGTTCTGGTCTAAGTCAAGGGGTCAGTCCAGATCCAGACTTT